CCAGTTTCTTCCATTAGACTTCCAACTACATATAAGCAATGGCCAAAGCTTTCTTTTTAACCACTTTGTCCCCTGTGATTGGCATCCAAAAGGCACTCAGCGCATATTTGCTGAATGTAGATGGCTTCCTGCTCTATTAGGGAGACCCAGCTGGCTAAGTGCTATATTAGTTAGTTAATCTTTCCATGTCAAATTTAAATATATATGAAAACATTAATAATCATAGGAAACTTTATTTAATAAATGATATTAAACTTATTAAGGCAAGGATATTGAAGGAGTTGCTAATTCATTCAAGAGAATTCTTCCTGGAGACAGTGAAAGTAATATGACAGAATTCTGCCTTTTAAAATAATTTATCTTAGTGTATCAAAATAGTGCATAAACCTAAGGATCAGCTTTTGCACAGATCTCTCTAGTTCTGAAGGGAGATAAATCTTACATGCAAACTACATATTTAAATGCTAGCATTTTATGGAAATTAAAATATAAATTAAATCTGCTGGAAGTTACATTACCACTTTAGTTTTATAAATAGTATGCTTTAAATCATATCAAAAGTAAAAATAAAAAGGCTGACCTAGACTTTTCTGTCAAATTACACTTAATTATGGAGATCCAGAAACTTTATAGGTAACTTTAGTTAAATTAGAAGTTTCTAGTCAAACACTTTCTCACTAAAATGTCAATATTTGTTTTAATTCAGCTATCTTTGCCTTAAAACTTTTATTTTATATGCTTTTGTCCTCTTTCCCACATAAAAAATGTAGCCTTTCTCACAAATATTTAACTATGACAATATGTTGTGATAGATCACTTCTTTATTTGTAAATGCTTCTGGCTGTTATCCTCAAATTAGCAGAAGTTATGAAATTGTTTTGTTAATTCAGTGCACAAAGCGCATGATATCAGGAATGCATGGGATTTGGGCAAAGGTTTATATGTAATTTTTAAAAATTAATAACTTTTATATAATTGTGTTCACAGCTATATATCTCACAATTTTTAATTGTTGATCAAAAGATAGATCCCAAGAGAAGAAAAGAAAGACAAAAAAAGCAAAATAATTTCCAACATTGAAAAACAGCTCCAAGCTTACATTTTCTGTTGGTGAGAACGTAGCTTAATCTTCATACTCATACAATTCTATTCCACTCCTTTAGCTTCTGATATTTCTATCTATAACAGGAATCCTTCAGAGCCAAATGCATATAGCTTTGCCTTTTGCCATAACACTGATAAGTTTGTTTTTGTTTAAGAATATTAAAAATAAAACAGGAAGACAATGTTTTCCTAGCCATGAGAAAATAGACATCTGACTTGCAAGTTATTCAAAGTTATCCATGCAGTGGTTATATTTTTATATTTTAAGGCATTTTAACAAATTATTTGATGGTGTTCAGATTTCATATGTTAAACTATGTCTTGATGTTTTACACAACAAAGATAACACTGCTCTTCAGGACCAACTTGACAGAATTTGTAATTCTGCATTCAAAAATGAAATACTTCTGCCCTGGATGGATCGGCTCAGAGGATAGAGTGTCAGCCCACAGACCAAAGGCTCTTGGGTTTGGTTCCAAGTCAAGGGCAGGTATCTGAGTTGCAGGCTCTATCCCTGGCCCTGGTTGATGCTGGAGGCAACCAGTCAATGTGTCATGTGTCTCTCTTACATGGATGTTTCTCTCTCTCTCTCTCTATCTCTCACCCCCCCCCACTCTAAAAAAATTCATTGGAAAAAATATCCTCAGGTGAGGATTTAAAAATAATAAATTTAAAAAATTAAAAACAAATACTTTATTCCTAGTTTCTTTGATTTTTAG